TGTTAGATTAATTCTGCTTTCGGACCCCCCTTGTTTGATATCACACATTGAGCACTCAGTTAAAGCCAGAGAGATTGAGAATCTCGAGTGTGCTATCCTTCCACCATGCAAAAGCAATGTTGTAATGTCACTGGATGCAACATTCAAAACAGCCTTACATACCATTCGTTCTTGAAAAGTAGACATTGGTTTCTATATAAATGTTTTCCCAAGTCTCCCATAACCATATATAAAAAAGAAACCTCCTCTTTTAGATATTAGATTTTGATTATCACATCAGATATCTTTCTTTGATCTTCATTAATCATAGATAAATATCCTCTAAAATCAAATGACAATTTTTCTTTGTCATAGTTCAAGTTCTAAATCAAGAAATTATTTTCAAATCTATTAAGAAGACTATCATCTAGAAATGACATAACACTGAACTCCTTTAAAAATATATAATTTTGATATTATTTTTAAACTTTTCCTTTACTTTATAATAAGTTAATAAGGTATGATATGTAGGATAAATGATTTTAGGGTGTGCCTTTTTTCTAATTTGAAAAGTTTTGTGGGACGCCTTTATTTGTATTTGAAAAACTTAATGGGACGGGTGTAGTATAATTTTCTTCAAATATCTAAGGTTATTTATTTATATTAGGCTTCCCCAAAAACAATTTACTTAAGTAGTCAACATTGTGTATGCATTTTTTTCAAAAAATATCTTCAATAATTCTAAAATTATTATCGTTGGTTTAACGCATTGAAAGTCTTATTTCAATCTATGAATTTCGTTTTAAACATATTAATGATTCTCGACAAATTCTATGGTGGACTTAAGGTGTACCATAGACGTACATATGAGCAAAATAAGTATTTCTTTATTACTAAAATAAGCATTTGTGTTTATAAATAAAAAATTAAAAAAAATATATTTTATGTGAGAAGGTCCACAAAAATGATACGCATTCAAGGTGCACCAAAGAAATACTCACGATTCTCTCTCTATTAAATAATTTTAATTATTTTTAAAATTATCTAATGTTAGACGTTAGAATACACAATAAAAAAAGATGAAAGTAAACTCAAATGACAATAATAGTTAGAAGGGAGAAGTATTGAGTTAGAAGTCAAAATAAGTAATTTTGATACTTTTTTATACTTTACGTCTATAATAGTCTTTCTCCTTTTTAACCTTTTCAATTTGTTCTAACTTAAATGTATTATTATTATTATTATTCAATGGAAATATTAATATACATAAAAATAAATTAAACATATATTATCAGTAGAAAAAACTATGATGTTTTTTTACATTGTACTCATAATAATTAATCAAAATACATTAGAAAAAAATTTAAAAATTACTCATCCTAATTATCTTCTTATTTTTCTACTTCGTAATTATATTCTAGTCGCCGTATAAGGTATTCCGTATATATTAGGCATATTAATTAGAATTGGATCTTTCTATATTTTAATATAAAAGTGCCAAGTCATTAAACTCTTCAAAGGTGGCGGATGACTCATAAAAAACTTGCCAAGTAGACCCGCCACATGTCGACATTCTGTGAGCCCGAGTCTCAAATAATATATATAAAGGACTAGTATTTCTACCCGTGGCACGCACGGGTTTGGATGAATTTTTTGACACTTCTGTAAATTAACTTCAATGCAATATTTTAAATTGAATTTATGAAAATATATATAATATGTTTTTTATTACGATAGACATTAAACACAAAATAAAATAAATAATTTAGTATTAAATATTTGGTAATGAAAATTCTTATGTACAAATTCAAAAGTGAACATCTCAGAGATTATCTAAATCTATATTTTTGAAAGACTTTTGGGTATCTAAATCTATATTTTTGAAAGACTTTTGGGTATACAACAATTTTGGTGTAGTTGCAAGGATTTTTGTTATCATCCAGGTATAGAATTAATATTCTTAATTCTTCCTTTCTTTTTTACTCATGAAACAACACCACAAAGTTGATCATAAGTAAACACCGAATTGATTAAAAATAATCCAACAAATGATAATGTTTGACTTTGACTTTGTTAAAAGTCATAGCAAAACAGAAAAATTGGGAATTGTCTTTTCTAAAACTTTAAGAGTAATAGTGGATCAGATGGTACGCAATTCATTCTAGTTATATAAACCTTTTTCTTGACTCGTTTTTTTGAAACCACAATTGCCCCGAAAACATTATTTCGTAGCTCTTTAACAATTAGTTGGGTCTTATCACGCAATTCTGATATTCAGTCAATGTTTCTTAATGACATATATAATTGGTGGCCCTTTTTTCAAAACTATTTTATGGCTTGAGATTCTCGAATATTTGATTTCATTTAAAACTCAATTGTTATTCAATCATCATCAACACCTACATCTCCATTTCCTTCGCATGAAGAATCAGAATTCAAATACTCCTTTAAATTGTCTAGTACTAAAATCAAACCATAAAAATCAATATATTCGAACTATGAAATTACGTATAGTATTTTTTTTATTTTAACACAATTATAGTCCATTCACCACTTTTTTTACAAATAGTTCAGTTATTTTTAAAGTATTTTATATTGTTCAATTTTACATAAATATATATTGCAATAAATAGAATCCAAACTAACTTAATTATTTAGAGGTAAAAAATATATCTTATTTATTAATTGAAAGTTTTTGTTTGGTGGGGGGGGGATTGAAAGTTTTATTATAAGGCAAATTTTTCTGTAGTCCTACGGTCCATGCTCATTTTATAGACCTTGGGGTATTAATATCATAAAAGAATTGCATCTTTTTTTAATTATTATTCGCCTGGTCCATGAAAAGTGTAAGAAAGTTCACATTTCACACGTGGACCTCAGAATCACATTTTACCAAAATGTTAATTTTACATTTTCTATGTTTCAAATTAGGCGGTATATAATGTGTTAAAAATATAAGAAATTTCATAATAGGCGAAGAAAATATTTATTTAGTAGGTGTCAATATTTAAATAAATATAATCAAACTAAGTTCATTTAAAGGTATCATAAACAAATTCATAATACTTCATATATTATTTATGTATGAAGAGAAATCTTTGTTTATTATTTAAAAAAAAAATTCAATTTTAGTCGAGTCATGTATTGATTTTTAAATTGTTTAATCTAGTTATTGAAATGTATTGTTTGTTTTTAATTTGAGTAAATTACATAAAAGGTTCCCAGTTATGGTTCATTTTACATATTTAGTCCCTACATATCAAATATCAATAATTTAGTCCTCAATTATTAAATTATTTTTCACGAATAGTCCTTTGTTAACATTTCCGTTAAAAACATGGATAAAATTGTAAATTCACGCTCCTCTCTCTCTCCTCAATTAAGCCTCCTCCCTCCACTCGCACTCTTTTCCCAAACCCGCGCTGAACTTTGAATCCAAAACCGAAATCATCACTCATCTCTCAAGTCTCAATTGTTCGTTTTCTTGGTGGAATCCAAAATCGAAACCAGTAACCTTCATTGATGAGTTTTAAGATTTGTTTTCTTTGCAATTTCCTGAGACTAACTCATAAAACTCATCCACGAAGGTAATTGGTTTCAAATTGGGTTCCACCAAGAAGATGAACGATTGAGAGATGAGTGATCGTTTAGGTTTTAGGTTTAGAGCTTCAAACTCAGCGACGGATTTGGAAAAGGAGTGCGAGAGGAGGGAGGAAACTTAATTGAGTAGAGAGAAGAGTGTGAATTTATAATTTTATCCATGTTTTTAACGAAAATGTTAACAAAAGACCATTTGTGGAAAATAATACTCCCTCCGTCCCTAAAAACCTTTCTCCATTCTTTTTTCATCCGTCCCAAAAAACACTTCTTATTTATATTAAAAAGTCACTTTTACCCCTTACTTTTTCATACCCTACCTATCACATCATACCTTTTTACTAATAATCTATCCATCAAATCCTATTTTTACTCATCACATCAAAGGACATTTTTGGAAATTCAATACCAAAATACACTTCCCTTAAATCTTTTCAAAAAACAAAACATCTCATGTTTTACGGGACGGAGGGAGTATAATAATTGGGACTAAATTACTGATATTTGATATGTAGGGATTAAATACGTAAAATTAGCTATAACTGGGGACCTTTTATGAAATTTATTCTTTTAATTTTACATTGTTATTGAAATAAATAGAATCAAAACTAATTTCATTTTAAAATATTATAAACTAATACTTTTATGAAAATTATTTAAATGTGAAAAAATCATCTTATTTATTAATAATTTTTTTATAAATGAAGCGAATAAAAAATATTTTAATGCATTGGGAAGAGTATTTTCATAAAAATGATTATTTCTCTTTAACAATTAAACTTATTCAAATATTTTATACCAAAAAATTGAATTCATATTTTCTATATCTTAAATTAAGTGATACCTTAAGTGTCATAAAAATATAAAATTTATTTATAGGTAAATGAAGTATTTTATTTAATAGGTGTCAATTTTTAAATAAATATAATCCAAGGAATATCATGTAAATGTGCAATGAATAAATATAAAATTTATTTATGGATGAGGAGTGTATTTTATTTATTAGTATAATATTTTTTTGAAAATTTTATGATTTAACAAATTCGAGACAGGTATTACAAATATTTGTACGTAGAGTCCTGAAAAAATGCTATTTTATTAAAAGTTATAATTTACACGGAAAATAATTTTGATTCTAAATTTGAATTCATGGGTTCAAAATAAGTAATTACTCTATATCATTTTTGAAAAAAGAGTAAAAAATGTGAAATAATGAAAGAGAGTAAATTTTGGTCAATTGCCACCTAATATGCCACATGTCAAGTTCCTAATGCGCCACATGTCAAGCTTTGAATATGCCAAATGTCATGTTCTTAGAGCTACGAGTCTCATTTATATATATAAAGGATATATAAAATTATATATATATATATATATATAGGATTACCACTGATTCGTTGATTTGGGAATTGCAAACCCCAGAGGTATCTTGGTTTCCATAATATCTTGTTGCAATCCCTTGGAGAGGCCCTGCTCGGATAGTCAAACATAGGGCTTCTTTGGGAACATCATTACAATCAAGATCGCCCCCATCGGTGTTCCACTTTGGGTAATGGCGGCTCCGAGGAGTTTGGCTGTGGATACGGGACGCTTGGCCAGAGATGAGCAAAAGATTCTCGATCTACCAGACACCTATGCAGAGGACTCTCCAACGGCCAAACGTTTCAAGGAGGGAAAATTTACGCTTAGCTGTTGGGAATTCGGGGCGGCTCTTGCTGTGTTCATGTTGTGCTTGACCGGGTTGGTCTGCATATACCTAACAATGCCAGCTTCAGATTTTGGGAAGCTCAAGCTTCCTCGTAACATTTCTGATCTTCGGATGCTCAAGTATGATTACTTTTTCCAAGAGAAATACCATTCCAGGGTGTTCCTTCTATGGTTTTATTTTATTCTGTTTTTATGTGTGAACATTTGTTATGAAGCTAAACCTTTCGAAAATGTTCTATCAGTGGGGGAATTAAAATTTTATATTGTAAGGAGAACAAATTAATCTATTCTAGAGTCATAGTATCTATCAAAGCGGCTCATCCTAAGGTCTTCTTTGGTGGAGGTTTTTTTAAAATACGGTTTTGAATTTTAAAAAAAAAACTAAGAAATAAGAATGAGTCAGCATAATAAGTAATGGGAGCCATTGGATAATTTCCTTCTTCAATGAATTAGTGATTAGACCTCCGACTAGATTCTCAAAAATTTGTCACTCTAAAAACCCGAGCCCTTTAATTTCTACTTTTCATAACATAAGAACCAGCTATCTGTTTGTTAACATACAGAAAGTTACATTGTGCTTGAACTTCGAGAGATTAGATGAATACTAGCTTGTGTTAGAAAGTCTAACCCTATTTTTCAGTTCTATAAAAGTATAGTAGTTTGTGATACAACTTGTTACTTATTAGTCTATGTTTAAACCATCATTGTTTGGCTATTCACTTGTTAATCAAGTTTATGCAAAAAATTAACTGCAAAAGGAGTTTTTTTCCATTAGTGGTAATAATTGGTCAGCTACATGTTTGGGTGACGATGATGGTTATAATGATGATGATGATATGCTTTATGTGAGTGAGTACTTGTTAAGGTCTTAAGGATGTATTCACTGTTAGGGATTTCATCCTTCTATTCAAGGATGTGATAAGAAACCCTAGGTTAGCCCTAGTCCATTATTAGGCATTTCATCCATGTATTTATGGATGTGTTCTTTTTTTAAATGAATCATTTATCTCATATTACGGGGCATTAATGGCCATATTGGACTTTTGTGGTCAATGGTGTTTTACTTGGGCCAAGAGTCTTGTACAAAATCATTTATAATATGAAAACAATACTCACTCTGTCATACAATTTTATTTCTGTTAGTGTTTTATTTTTTGGGGTGCCTTAAAAATTTTCTTCTCATTACATTCAAGGAATAATTTGTGTGGTTGATATTATTTCTTAATAGATTACAAACACACATTTTCATTTTCTTAACAAGTGTGGCTGTCAAAGTAAGAAGAAAATTGTTGGACGGAGGGGGTAAAAAAATATTCTTTGGTAACAATACTCCCATTGGAAATGTTGTCTTTTTTTGTAGTTAGGAGGAAGATTTCTCTTATTGGCATGGCGGTGCCAACTGCAAACCCACAATATCTCAATATTCTACTCCTGTCCCAATATTTTTATTCATGTTTAATTTTGCGAAATTTAAGAAAAATGTCAAAAAGTGAGAAGTGTATGGCTAGAATTTTATTTATATGAGAGAGAAATATTGTGAGCCACATATTCACTACTAAAAAGGGAAGAAGCTAACTTGGAATTGTTTTTCGGACATCCAATAAGGGAATGCGGGTAATGTTCTTTGGGACAGAGGGCGTATGTTGTAGTAGAGCCTCTTTCCTAGGTCATTTTAGTTTTATTTTTCCAGTAGTTAACGATTTTCTCCCATAGTTGTTTTCATTGTCGGACACTTATTGGTTGTTTTATAGGAAATCTAATACTGTCACGTTGTTTGGAATCTTTTTGTGACTTAGAATCATCTCCACATACCCCCATGCACTGTTGAGAATTTTCCGGAACTTTGTTTCTCTGATCATATCTCGTTTTCTTATACTCTTCTATTCCCATTGTTTGTGCCAATGGCTTTGTGTGCATTTGGCAAGCCCAACAATACCTTTTGATTCCCTTTTCTGTGTATTTTGATGGTTTTCTTATATTTAAGTGATTGTTCCCTGTGCACTTTTTTCATGGGGCAGCGTGTTAATTATCATTCACCTACACCATGCCTTTCATATGGTTGTTAGTGTCCATACTGCCATGCTCTTTGCATGCTTTTCATATTGGTGATTTGATCTCCATTCTAGCAGTTGTGATCTTTTACATTTTGCTTTTTATTCTGAAGCAGTTTGTGTATTTGTGCTTTGTGTTTGGTCAGCCCTGGAACATTCAACTCCAATCTCAGGGGAGGTGCATTTGTGTTTACAGCCATTTGTTCTGAATCCTTTCAAACACAGTTATATTCTAGATGTTCTGTGTATTTTATGTTTCTCATTGTAATTCATGCGAGGTGAGTTGTTTTTTGTCTTTACTAATCCAAAGTTAAAAACATCTTGATTTTCAAGCTTTAAGGGGAGTGTTAAAGTATATCCGTATAGGACATCCTAGTTTAGTCCTAGCCCACTATTAGGCATAGCATCCTTCATATAAGAAAGCAATCTTCTTTCAATTGATTGGGAATTTCACTTTTAACAGTATTACATGTATTAGTCTTGGCTTTATTTTGTTATTTGCTTCCACTAATGGGTAGGTCGAGACTATTCTCCACCTGCCATATCTCAACATTTTATGATGCTCACTCTCTCTAGTAACAAGCATTAATTTCCTTTATGCGGGATAGTTAATTTGTGGTGTAATATATCTTGACAATATTATCAGATGTTTATGAGAAGCCCTTGAAAGTTTTAGTCAGAAGCTTGTTAACAACCTTTTCACAACTGTTGCTACTTGCTAGTTGAACATTTAAGGATTTTACAAGGGTAGGGCTGTGTACATCTTGACCCTCCCCCCAGATCTCAAGGTGGTTAAAGTATATTGGGTTGTTTGCTTTATGCAAAGTAAGCTCATGCATCTTTTGTATATCTTTCAGGGAACACCTAGCAACCTATGCCGATATGTACCCTGCACGGTTCATTCTCGGGTACTGCTCAACATACATATTTATGCAAACATTTATGATTCCTGGGACTATATTCATGTCTTTACTAGCCGGAGCACTCTTTGGTGTTCTCAAAGGACTTTTCTTGGTTGTCATCAATGCTACAGCCGGTGCATCATCCTGCTATTTTCTTTCTAAGTTACTCGGAAGACCTATAATTACCTCACTATGGCCGGAGAAGTTGAGGTTTTTCCAATCAGAGGTATTTATGACTGACCTCTTTAACACTATGTTTGGATCAAGGAATTTGAGAAGGAAAGGAAAAGAAAATGAGAAGGAAAACATTTTTTTTGTTTGGTTAGAGAGGAAAAGAAAAGAAAAGTGGAAGGAAAAGAAAATAAGAAGGCAAAATGTACAAGAAGAGAACCAAAATCCTTCCATTTTAGTGAGAAAAATGAGGGAAACCCATTTTATTTTCTTTTCCTTCCAAATTCCTTGAACCAAACATAGTGTAAATAGTGTTTTTTTCCACAGCAGGTTCCCTCGTTTATTCTTCGTACTTATTAACGTTTCTATTGTAATTCCAGATAGCCAAGCGCAGGGATAAGTTACTCAACTACATGCTTTTTTTGAGGGTAACTCCTACACTGCCAAACCTTTTTATCAATTTGGCATCTCCAATTGTGGATGTACCCTTTCATATTTTCTTTCTGGCTACTGTGATTGGTCTAATCCCTGCCTCATTTATTACTGTGAGGGTAAGTTTTAAATACTTATTGATTGGCTGCATTGCCATTGCATCCTGATGACTACATATGATTTTACAGTTTACACTCAAAACAGCTGATGAACCAAAACCTTAGTGCTCATGTTTGTGTTCTCAAATCTCTTTACTCTATTGCTAGATAGTGGTCATCTACTCATGTATATGAGTACCATCCTCGTAAGAACAAAGCTTGCAGTTTAAATTCCATCTTCTTCCTACTCCCCATATGCTCTACTTTAGAAAACGTGGAACACATTGTAGTTTATTAGTTTATTCTTAATGAAGTTCAGGAAAAAAAATGCATTTGAAATTCAAATGAATAAATTACCTTGTTATTACTAGTGATAATACTTCTAAAAGTGACCCCTGACGCCGTGTTCATACATTTGACTAATAATCAGGCTGGCCTTGCTCTTGGGGATTTAAGATCAGTCAAAGATCTCTATGACTTCAAAACTTTGGTGGTTCTTTTCCTTATCGGTTCTGCCATTATACTACCAACCCTTTTAAAGAGGAAACGGACATATGAATGAAGCAATGACTAAGTGCCGAACCATAAAAATTCCCCCCACAGGCAAAAGCAGAACTCTTTTACTAATTCTACCATTTGGACTTGAGATGGGAAGTGTTCTCGGAGACATTTTTTTGATATATATAGACTAGAAGTATAACTGGTGTGGGAACAGGAAGCATCATACCTTTGTCGAATGGACTGAGGTTCCAGTGTGACACTCGGAAAAGAGTATTTATCAGAGATTATATATGAAGAACTATGCAGTGGAGTGGCTAGTTAAGTGATCGTGAACTGGGGGATAGAATTTCATTAACGCACTTGCATCGGCCAGCTCCTTGCCTTGGGTGGGTTGGTTTATGATTCAAACTTGTAAGTGAACATGTAGCGCTATGTTATATATTTATATGTATTTCGATGTGTAAGAAGAGATTGAAATCCATTTCTCATCAGAGTAAAAATATTTATATGGCAATGATGCGAAGTGCTTTAGCAATTGGCTTGGCATTAAAGTGGCTGTTATGTTTCCAATTTGGTTTTACTTTTAATCAATTGGCGCTACAGAAATTTTGACAGGCAAGATATTTCTTCATTCTATTCATAATCAACATTCCAATGCAGGATGCCAATACATAAATAAGAGGAAAAATTATCCAAAATCATCTCAACTATATCTGATCTTTTAAAAATAATGTCACTTTTTACTGTGATGCATAATAATCTCAACTTTATTGAAATTTGTGAGTTTTAGGTCGTCGTTAAGTTTCTAACGGAGGGTTAACGGAAATGCTTGTTTTGCGCAACAAAATGAAAGTTGGGATTATTTTTGATGATTTTTTTTATATTTTGTTTTGAAATTTTCATTTAAAATTTTGAAATTACTTTCTCTCTCTATTCCATTTTCTTTTTTAAAATTTATTCTTACCTTAGAGAAAAAATAGATATAAAAAAATGAAAATGATAAAAATAACTAAAGTCTAAAACCATACAAAATTAATGAAATAAATAATATGTAATGAATAGAAATTAAAATGAAACTGATAAGAAATAAAATAAATATATACAGAGTGGTGGTTTTAACAATTTACACACTATACGGAGTCTTAATGTACTACTTATATTTTTAAAAAAACAAGCCATCCGGTAAAGTTGGAATTATTCTAGATAATTTTTTCTAGAAAATAAGAAGTGATACGTTAATTCCTTGTAAAGTGCGTAAAATATTAAAACTCACCACTCCATATATTTTTATTTTATTTATTACCAATTTCAAGTTGGTTTCTATTGATTACCTTATTTATTTTATTATTTTGTATCATTTTAGTTACATTTCTCATTTTTTTATTTTTTATATCTATTATTTTGATTTTTTTGAACTAAGACTAATCTTTAGAAAAGGAAAAAGAAATGATGGAGGTAGAAAGTAATTTTAAAAATTTAAAAGAAAAACTCAAAAAAATAATAATAAAATGAAAATTCATCAAAAATAATCTCAACTTTCATTTTGTTGCGTAAAATAGGCATTTCCGTTAACCCACCGTTAGAAACTTAACGGCGATTCAAAACTCACAAATTTCAATAAAGTGCGGATTATTATGCATCGTGAGATTGTTTTTTAAAAGACCAGGTAAAGTTTAAATTATTTTGGACAATTATTCCTAAATAAGATAATCCAATGCTAGTGAGGAGTGACTATTAGATGCACGCCCCCGTTTGACGTCATAGGTGGTTATGCTTATGCATGATTAATATGGAGCATCTTATATGTACTCCAAAATTTGTACCTGATTTGTGCACAAAAAGTATGCACCAACATTTTGATGGTTCACATTGACACAAAGTGTTAGTGCGTTGACAAAAATTTGCACTGACACAAAGAGTTGGTGCGTTAACAAAGATTAGCAGTAGATCAACACAAAATGTTGGTGCATCCCTATGATGTATAAAATAGGGTACCAATTGTTATACCCCTCGATGGCTCCACCCAAATCCCAACCTCTCCCAACATATCCAAAAGTCTTTTATCTTTTCTTTTATCCAAAATAAATTCTCTTCCATCTATTTTAACCCCTGGTCAAAAATAAGAAACCAAAACCTTTTGTGTGTTGTTATTTTCCTTCTTTTAAGCCTTTTAATAAACAACTAAAACCTTCCCTTTATTCTCTCACAAAAAACCCAAACCCATAAATCCAAAACCACCCATGATATTACTCAACCCTGTCCCCCTTTATTGACCAAAAATAACCCCCCTTTTTTACCTAAATAATAATCATAAAACCCAGGAAACAACCACTACAAACCCAAAACTCAAAACCCCACAACCCCAGCCCCATCCATGATTTCATTCCACTAAGGAGACATGAATTAAAGTACATTACCCCATGCTTTGAAAGTGATTGTTGCTAGGAAGCTTCCTCATTTTCGCATTCATTGTATTGTGTATTATTTTTCCCTTCCCCTCTCCCTATATAATGTAGCCTTGGGGTTTTAACGCCCCGAAACCCGACTTAGTATTTTTAATTAATTTATATAATTAACTAATTACTAAGTCGGTCAATATGAAGATTATTTTCAAATTTGCGTATTTAATATGAGAGTTGACCTACGTTGTAGGTCTCACTGTTCTAAACCCGACCGCGCAAACGGATTGAGAATCGGATTTACTAAGCCCAAGATACGACCTCCGAATAAGGTAATTGAGCTTAAATTTATCTTAACCGGTTAGAAAGTGTAAACTGAACCTAAAACGTATTTAATTTTATATTAAATAAGAGGGGAGGGTTACGAAACTTGGGATCTCTCTCTCTCTATGCTCGTTTGTCCGTCTGGTTCTTGTGCCCTGTTCGTCACCATCGTCCAGCCGACCCACAGCACCGCCGGCAAGCAGTGGCGGATCCAGAAATTCTGGTAGATGGGGGCACAATTGGTCGGGGCAGCGCCCTTGATTTTTTTATTAAAAAAAGACTATTTGAAATGACAAAAATTATAAATTTTATTTTAAACATTTATTGAAGGTAAAATTTTACGGAGTATTTAATTAGTAATGTAAAATTGTATTTTAAATAATAAATTAAACACAATAAAATACACTTTACTTTAATAAGATTAAACAAAAAATTAAAAGTTAGCTTAATTAAATAAAGTTCCATTCATTTTTGTAGGGAGTAAATAATGTGAGATGGGGTCAATCCCTATTTTAGATGGGGGCATGCAGCCTAAAATATAATAATTTTTTGTTTTTTAAAAAATAATTGTTTAACACCAAAATTTAGTTGGGGGCATTTGCCCCCAATTGTTTGGGAGTAGATCCGCCCCTGCCGGCAAGCCTCCAATCCAAGGGAAACAGCGCCGCCGCCATCTCCCTCTCGCTCCTTCCTCCTTCTTCCGGCGAGCGCGCGAGCTGTGACGAGCAGCGGTGTTTTCTTCCTCTCTCTCTCTGCGATTCAAGCTTTCTTCGTTAATCGAGGTGATTCGTTGTCCAATTATCTATCTGATGGGGGATAATCCTACGTCAGCCTAGGGCTGACGTCAGCACGTACCTTTCCAAAGGAGAAGCACTGGGCTTGGACATCTCCGCTCGACACCCTAGCTCCGCTCAGCCCTCCCGGCTCAATGCGCGAGCTTCGCTCGGCGCTCCCGGCTCGGCTCGGCCTGTCAAGCCGAGCCCAGACCACATGAAAACAACGTAAAGATAGCGACTTGCGATAGGGACTTAGTGACTAAGGGTATTGTATCCCCTATAAAAGGGGTGAAACCCCTCATTGTAAAGGATCGGAATTCTAAGTGAATGCACTCCTACTTTGCATTCTCTCTCTCTAAACTTCATATTATTTAATATATTCGGTGGTTTATAGCCATCACTATCGTTAGCATTAATTCATAGATTAGGATCTCATTTGTGTTAATCTTGCAAAATTGTGTGAATTGATTGTTGGGTTTATTGATTTGGGTGTTGAATTTGTTGTGGGTCGTGTTGGGGCTGCATTTCCAGTCGTTTTCCGGCATGTCACAGCGGCGGACCACCGGCAGTGACGGTGGACGGGTTGGACAAGGTTTGACTTGGACCCAATTGGGTCAATTTAGGTCGAATTGGGTCAATTTGGGTCCAATTGGGTCAAATTGGGTTGGCTTAGCTTAATTGGGCCTGTTTTGGGTAGGCCAGTGGGGCTGCCCGGTCCGGCAGTTGGCCGGCGATCAGGTTGGGGGCTGCCCGGGTTGTTGGCCGGCTGTCCGGGCTACTGGGCCTTTGGGTCCGGGCTATTGGGCCGGTTGCATTGGGCCATTGGGCCGGCTGTGTTGGGCTTGTAATGAGGGGCTGCCCGAATAGGCAGAGGGTTGGGGCTGCCGGGTTGGTCCAGCGGGTTGTCGGGCTGATCCGGTGGTAATTGATACTGTTCCGGCGGGTGCTGCGGGCCTGAGGATAAGTCCTTAGTCTCGAGTTCGCGACACAGGTAAGTTATTTTTAATATTGTTGGGTTAAAACGTGTTGTTCAAGCATAACGGTAATCGGTGAGAAGTAATTCTTCCGATAGGCCGCTGAGTATGTTGTTCTGTTTATGGAAATGCTTTAGTGATTGTTATCACTTGAGAACTCTGTTGAAACTTGGCCACATAGTATACCTAGGCGGATCTAAACTGAATTGGATAGTTTAATCACCAATAGGACGGTTGTTAGGTTCTGGCCTTGTGGAGCATGTTTGCATATCCAGTGGTCCAGGGTTGAAAACGTACGTACGGCCGGAGTCACTGTTCTACCTAATGGCTTCCTTGGTAGAGACTCAAACCAAACCATTGAGGATTTTCTTTGGGTTTGTTCGAGCATTGGCCTTGAGGGATCCGCTCTAGTGTCCGTAACTCTAGTCTGTTGAATTTAGGCTTAGTGTTGTTATGACAGAAATAGCCCGTTGGGAATAAATAAATTGAAACTATTGGATCCTTGTCACTGAAAATAAATGTTGATTATTCACTATTGTTATTGATTATATAAATGTGATACTATATGTGAAATTAATTCTAGCGCTAGATATTTTTTTTTTCACTCAGCTTCCAGCTGAGCGTGTAGTTTTGTTGTCTTTGACTTCACGCAGGGAGGGGTTTGGGACAAGAGGGCGAGCTTGGAGGACATTGATGCGTGATGCTATGGATGATGTCACCATTTTTATTATGAATATTTAATTATTGTGTTAATTAATAATTTGGGCTAAACATTTATTGTAGAATGTTATTTTGAGACTTCCGCACTTGATAGACTTTACTCTGAACTTTTCGTAATTAACTGGGTGTCCGGATGTTTTAGAATAATTTGTCTAAATTGTTGTGTTGTGAATATCAATTTAGTAGCAACCCGATTCCTTAACTCCTTGGTTCGGGTTGCGCGAGTTGGGGTGTTAACTTTTGGTATTAGAGACAGGTGGTAAAAACGATTCTTTGCCAAAATTATTAAATGTCTAATTTCAATATATATATATATATATATATATATATATATATATATATATATATATCTCTATGTGTGTGTGTGGTTCCCTCTGTAGAGATGGTCACAAGGTTGATTGGCGAACCACACCACCCGGGTTCGATCCCTAGAAGATGCATATTTGGAGGAATTTTAAAGAGTTAAGCGTGCTGGCTTGGGAGTAGCAAAAATGATGGATGACCCCCTGGGAAGTAGATTTGGGCTTATGGGGCTGGGCTTTAGATGTGGCTTACTTTGAGCTTTTTATAGTGGGTTATCTATCTCGGGTGTTAACGGATCCCGGGGTAGTCACGAGGTTAACGGGCCTCGGTCCCCCTGCTTGTAACCGACCGTTCATTAATAAAAAAAGAAAAAAAATTAAAATATACCCAAATCGATTACTCAAATTTCAAAGTAGAAATGATGAATGCTTTAATCTTACACAGGATTTTCTTAATTATTCAAAGTTGAATATATTCCTTGTTTGATTGAGCAATTTTTATCAAACTCTACTCCTATATATATATATATATATATATATATATATATATATTATTTAAAATATATTTATTAAAAAAAGGAAAAAGTACAAAGGGGGATGGGACGGATCCCTACAAGCTGTCCCAAAAAGAGTAATTACTACAAACCAAAATAATTCCATGAGGAGAGCAAAAGGCAGTCTGTCCAAATGTTATGGTATGGGTGTCACTAAGTTCTGCCCTGCAATTCTAGCTAAGCTCATGAAACAGCTCCAAAATGGATGACAGAAATTTTGCCCATCCGAAGTGTTGACAGGGTTTTTCTCTGGCATAGCATTTTGAACAGCAGGCACTTCTTTGTATGCTTCATATAAACGAGATAAAAGAGGGAATTCACTCATATCCATATTGAAACTGTTGACTGGATTTGGGGCACTAAATAGTTGGAATGTACCATGACACAAAAGCGCCAAACCCATATTTAAAACGCCATCCAAAGTTAGTGTAAATATCCTGTCATTCTCAGACCAGAAATGGAGTATGATAATCTATAACCTGATAACCTTCAGCACCGGATTAAGGAAGGGGTGAAAAATCATGAGAAGTAAATCTTGACAGCATTCTCACCAATCAAATTTGTTCCCAAACACGCTTGGCTTTAAGTTCTGTTAATCTCTTACTTCTTCTTGGATGGGGACTATCCTTGAATTGCAAACACAATTGGTCAAATTTCTTCAGGTTTTTTTTTCTTGTTGACCTCTTTATGGGCGTGCCAGTCTTCCTCCTCGTCTGAGCCTCTGTCCGTTACCCATTCATCTTCAGAGTCATTTGATGGAAGTTTTTTCGAGTTGTCCAGAAGTTTAATTTCAGGCCCGGAGTTGTACCCTATGTTTTCCCCCCAAGTAGGGCTGTCCAAATCATTGTCTGAATTAGAACATCCCTGGAAATGAAGAGGTTGTATACATGCCATATCAAAAGTTTGGCTTGGTGTAGTGACATGTTTTTGAGGGGTGAAAGCTGGGGCTGAAGCAGAAAGGGTCCCTTGTAGTGTGGACAGCTTTGGGGAGTTTGCAAGGGTAATTGGAGGGCCAAGAGGGGGCTGAAAGGTAACCACGGTAGGGAGGGCAGCGGAAATACAAAAATTTAATCTCCCAATAGTGATTACTAGCCCAAGAATACGTACTAAAACTATAGCTAGAGATAGAAACTTATACCTTCTCCAGTAAAGCGGTATGAACGAGAAGTCGAGCAAAAGGTGTTGAAGGAGCAAACGTAGCCGTTCAAGCGTCCGGCCTCCAATTTTGACACACGAACAATCTCCGGAGTCTACTATAATCTTTATGCTAGTAAAGATTATAATAGTATATTTAATATAAAGATTATTTTAGGGATAATATAAATCTTGTATATTAAACAGTAGAAAATATATCAATAATATTTTAAAGAAAATATTATATCAATTTTCTACACAAAATATTAATATTTGGGAACTCAAATATTTTCTCTTTCCTCTCTTTGCTTGGCCGAAGTTCAAGTGTGTGGTGTGTGTGAAAAATCCTTTTATTTTATCAAGGTGATAAAACATCAACAATAACAAAATGCCAAAGTGATTTTGTCCAAAGCTTCTCCTCCACACATTACAAAGTGGGAGACCCTCCACTCAAAGCCATGTACGAAAGGTAGGGGGGATGAATTTAAAATTCTCTCCTCTCAAATGTTTAAAGTGTATTTTATTTGACATCAATAATTTTTATGATTTAAAATAAAATACCCAAAACATTTTAAAACAAGTATATAAAATATACTTTAAAATAATTTTTGTCAAACTAATTATTTTCATAATTAAAATGACACTCCAAAATAAAATGTACACAATATAATATATAAATAAAGTAATATATACATATATGTACACGTTGCATACATATTACACACACATATATATAATCGTACATATCAATTATGTATACATATATTTATATGTGAGTGACGTGTACAAAATATGTATATATACGTATATTATATTAAACATTTTATTTTACTATTTTACAATATACAAATTAAATATTATCCTTCTTATAATCCTACTCTTTAAATTGTCCAAAGTGTGTGACCCATATAGGCACTTATAAAACTGGCCACAGTATTGACTCTACACCAATACTATAAGTAATAAGCGGTATCTAGCAACACATTATTACCCCTAGATTATAAGTTCAGACGTTTGCTCCGTCAAAACCTTTCAACGACTAAGACTTTGTATAACGTAGATCCTTTTGTCCCAATGTCTTAACTTAGTGCAAGGGATATAAAATATCCAACTTGTAGCCATTAAGTTATTTACTGATTAACAAGTCTGACTGATGAGAACAGATGTCTAAACTCATCTCAGCATGGCCATGCATTTCTTCAGTCATACTTATCAGTGGGCCCCCACAAGACATTATTCTGCTTGAGTAGCAGTGACAAATTCTTTGTACGTAATCTACGTCTTCGAATACGTGCAGCGGCATGCCCAATGCAAAGCCTGTGTACCATCCTTATTTCATACGGCTTAGTACAATGAATCAAAGCATGCAGGTTCACACATTCGAAGAACGTAATACTTCAAGTCTGAGGATCGTTATACCAATAGTCGCATTAAAGACACTTAGAGCATAGACTAAAAGTCTAGGAAATGCCCTTAAGGTGGGTCAGGTCTGGCATCTTATTATTAACGATAATATCTGCCCAAGAGTAGATGCGAACACTCCGTCATTGTCCAAGAGACTAGGTCAAACATCTAACTCTCACTAGTCTCACGCGCATTAACGATATCCTGCTCTCGTTAATGCTTCGACTATAGACCGTTCAGAATTATACTAAGTGACAAGATGTCAGTCTCAACATCAGAAGACTCATTCTGATAAACATCTTATAATATAATTCTAGGAATGCAATTAAGAGTTTACATTAGTATGAGATGTTTGTAAACTTAATGCATCTTGCCTTTACATGATAGAAAATATCTAAGATATTACAACAGCAGTTGGCCATAAGGGCACCAACTCCAACAACCTCCCACTTGCACTATGGCCAATCTGGCATCGGTCGAATGCCCATTGACTTAGTGTGACCCTCATGCTTTAGCTTTCCCAAGGGCTTGGTCAGGGGGTCGGCTATGTTGTCGTCTGTTCCTACTTTGCAAATCTCCACATCACCTCTGTCTACGATTTCTCGTATGATGTGATAACGTCGTACAATGTGCTTGGTCTTTTGGTGAGATCGTGGTTCCTTTGTCTGTGCAATGGCCCCAGTGTTGTCGCAAAACAACGGGATTGGGTCATTAATGCTAGAAACCACTCCAAGTTCAGAAATGAACTTCTTTATCCAAACACCTTCCTTTGCTGCTTCAGCAGCAGCCATGTACTCAGCCTCTGTAGTTGAATCGGCGGTTGTGTCCTGTTTAGAACTTTTCCAGCTAAAAGCTCCGCCATTCAGGCAAAACACATACCCTGCTTGTGACTTGTAATTGTCTCGATCGGTTTGGAAGCTAGCATCAGTGTAACCGATCACTTTCAGCTCTTTCTCACCTCCATATACCAGGAATGCATCCTTAGTATTCCGAAGATACTTTAGGATGTTCTTGACCGCTGTCCAGTGTGCTTCACCTGGATTCCCCTGGTATCTGCTGGTCACGCTTAAAGCGAATGAGACATCAGGTCTAGTACATATCATGGCATACATGATGGAACCAATTGCAGAAGCATATGGGACCTTCATCATGAGTTCCTTCTGCTCAGGAGTAGAAGGACTCTGGCTCTTGGAAAGAGCCGTGCCAGGTATCATAGGTAAGGATCCCTTTTTCGAGTTAAACATGCTAAATCGATTAAGGACCTTATATATATATGTACTTTGACATAGACCTATCAACTTTCTTGACCTATCACGGTAGATTCTTATGCCAAGGGCATAACTAGCATTCCCCAAGTCCTTCATGGCGAAGTTCTCGCTCAACCAAGTCTTTACAGACGTAAGAGCAGGAACATCGTTACCCATTAACAATATGTCATCGACATATAGGATTAGGAATACTATCACACTCTCACTGACCTTCTTGTAAACACAAGACTCGTCAGAATTCTTCTCGAAACCAAAACTAGTGATGGTTTCATCAAAGCGTATATACCAACTCCGAGATGCTTGTTCAATCCGTAGATTGACCGTTGCAGCTTACAGACTTTGGCAGATTCACCAGCAATTGTAAAACCGTCAGGCTGTGTCATATAGACATCCTCTTTGAGGTTCCCGTTAAGGAAAGCCGTCTTGACGTCCATCTGCCAAATCTCGTAATCGTAGAATGCTGCAATCGCAAGCATTATCCGAATGGACTTCAGCATCACAACTGGAGAAAAGGTTTCATCATAGTCAATTCCATGGATTTGTCTATAACCTTT